TTCAGAATCCGATAACTGATGAAGCCATTTGCATGAGTGGGAAAAAAAAAAAAATGGAACAACTCAACAAGATGTCATGCCTAAACTTAGGTATTAGTGCATACATTTTGTGTCTAGCATTAATGCATTTTTGTATTTTTGCATAAATGCTTAAACAAACAAATGAATGCATTTATAGCACCTAAAACATACACATTTTTTTTTTTACTTACAAACAACTTTAGAAACTTCCAAATATTTACATATGCTTTTGGGCAGCAGTGGCTGATTTGTAAAAAAAAAAAATTCAAGGGAGATGGCTGTATTTATGGTATGACAGCATTTTAGTGCCACATATAATAAAAAATAAATGTAAGATTATGAGATTAAAGTTATAATATTTTCAAAATAAAATAAAAATTATGAGAATTTAGTTGTAGCAATATGAGACTGAAGTTGTAATACTTTGAGAATTAAGTCATAGCAATCTGAGATTAAAGTAGCAATATTTTGAGAATACTGTAGGTCGTAGTATTTTGAGAAAAAAGTAAAGATAACAAGGATAAAGTCGTAGCAATACGAGACTAATCATTGTAATATTTGAGAATATTACGTGGTAGCATATATAATATCATGTAAATAAATTTAATTAATGTGAAAATTCCACTCAGCAAAAAACGACTGTGGCATCCAACCTTTCATTCTTCACAAGTATTTAACATTGAAAACTGTGATAAAAACGTTTATTGTATTGTTTCTTTCAGCATGCCTTCTGATGTTCATTCACGTTTCTTTCGTGCTAACGAAAGAGAAAAAGATGATTGCTTCACGTGCTGCACGACATCAGGCAAAGCAATCTGTCACACCACATTAAAGAGCATAAAATCACATTTATTGTTTATATTTCGAAATAAAATGGACAGAATTTGAAAGCTGAGACTGTGGCAACGTCTCCAAGATGCTTCAAGAAACCAACCTGCAAAGGTCTCTGAAAACCAAGGGCAAAAGCTGCTTTAAACGCAAAGGATGGTCACACCAAATGTTGATTTAATTTAGTTAATAGAAGTTAATTGATAAAGAAAATCTATTTATAACATTATTTTTGACAGCATCCTCATTTTACAGCATTTAGATCCAACTGCCTACAACTTTTAACAGTACTGTAGCATCTCTTGAAGCTTCTTGGAGACGTTGCCACAGTTCTTCTGGATTTAGTCTGTCTCAGTTTGTTCTGTTTCTTCATGTCATTCCAGACAGACTGGATGATGGTGAGATCAGATCTCTGTGTGAAGCACTGGCTGTTGTCAGACTCCTTGTGCAAAAAAAAATCTCACTGGATTATTACAATTAATGATAAAATGAATGTTTGGAAATGCAAACTGATATTTCCTACTGACACACTATAGCAAAAGATAGAAATAGTCAAGTCAAGTCAAGTCACCTTTATTTGTATAGCGCTTTATACAATACTGGTTGTGTCAAAACAGCTTTACAGAGTCAAACAGGAAAATAGTTTGTCAGTAATGCAAGAAGACAATAACTGAATCATTTTTCCAGCTAAAGTCATTGATGATTCAGTGATGTCATCATCCAGTTCAGCTTTCCAATAGTGTCTGTGCAAATAACTGACTTAAAACCATTTTTTAGCTGGTGAAAATACTAGTGTTCTAATAATTTTGGCCACCACTGTATAAAATAGTTGCTATCCTAGACTCAGCTTGTCGCGATCACAATCAGCGCTCGCGGTGACTGGGACTGCACCTGTTCCCTCTTCACGCTGATTTTCCTCTCTATTTCTCTCTGCGTATTACAAGGTCTTTTGCCAGATTATTGTGCTTTTCTGTCAGTCTCTTGGCTCTTTATTCCGTCATTTGTAAGGTTTAGTCGAGTCCAGCCCTGCATTGCCTAGTCGTGTCCTGTCGTGTGTCTAACCTGGATTTCTGCCCAGTCTCCCAGTCACCCAATGCCAGCAGTTCGCTCTCCTCCGGACGCTGTCCTCCGGTCTGTGCAGACAGAGAGGTAGTTGCTCCTCGCCCTGCAGCCCGGGGTGGTGCCCCAAACTCGCAAGTCAAGTCAACACTTATGTTCCAGTGCTCCTGTGTTAAAGTCCAGTTCTGCGACCGCCGAATACGGCCAGTGATCGGCAGACTGCCTAAGTTTGTTTTTGTGGACAATAAATCCTCTGTTTGACTTGCCTTTGCTTCTGGGTCCTTTTATCTTGACATCCTTTATGTGTTCTTTTGCTTGAGTATTGTAAAATCGCTTGACTGTTTTAACTGGCAAGGCTTTAAAACATGTGCAAAGCATAATCTGTCATGAGGACGCAGTAGTGGCCGAATGGAGCAGTCACAGATCAGTCATCTGTCACCAAGCGTCTTTCACACTGGCCTCTGAACATCAGACAGTCATTATTGTGGAGACCTGAACTGGTAATGATCAGATATATCGATTTAGCTTAGCAATACAAGGAAAACACTGGCGTTTATTTGTAAATTTTACCAATTGAAAATGAAAGTAAGTGAGGAAGTTGAAAGATTTCTTATCCTGTGGCGTCTAGTGGACTGCAATTGTCCTCTAGAGGGGGCATTTTTGCTCAGACAATGTATGTCTATGAGAAGTTTTAGATTTTTGCTAATTATTTAGACGAAAACTATAAGTCTGATCAAGATAGAGCCCAGGTCTCTGCCGAGTTTGGGGCTTGTAGCATTAAAGCCCTAGGAGAAGTTAAAGTCAGAAAATTTGGACTCAGAAAAAGAAGAAGAAGAAAAAGAAGAAGTTTAAATAGTAACTTTCTCAAGCCAACATAATGATAAATGATGGTGAACCAATTTGGCTTGCTGTCCCTTAAAGGAGGGGCTCGGCCCCGAGATTCAACTTAAATGTTGATTTTGTAGTTCTGGATGAGTTTGCCAAATGTGAGATGCATTTGATTAGTGATATGTTGTTCGGACAGGAATCAGAGTTTTGGAACTAATTTTTTGAGTGAACGCTTTTGTTCATTGTCATAACAGGACTCATATTGCTCATTCACTTAAGTCCCCCCCCCTTTTTGTATTTGTAGACAAATTTTAATAAAGTATAAAAGACTTGTTGCATTTTGGTACAAGTCAATGTGATTACTCACTCATAACACATAAAAATGGTCATTTGTCACCACCTGCTGAAATAAATAATGAAATATTACTGAACAAATCAGTGAATAAAACAGAATAAATCTTTTGGTAAAGGGATTCAAATTAATCAAAATTTCCACCACTACATCAGAAATATCCTGATGAATTTGATTCCGTGATCTGCTGTCCAGGGCTGCACGCTACAATCAATAGTAGAGAGTGCAACACCAGGTAATAATAGATAATAGATAATAGATAATTTGGAACAAGCAATTTTTGTAACTCTTCAGACAAATGACTGATCTTATTGTACGCATGTTGTACGCTTCACATGCCATCAGTTAACAACAGAAGGGAAGCAAAAGTATAGGTGTGTTGAAGAAGCGCTGCGCAGACCAATTGGTGTATGACATCAGAGATTCGAAAGCATAAGGAGCCATCTACTCTCTAAAGCTCTCACAATACTTTGATGTCATGCACAGATCGATCTGTGCAAAGCTGCTTCGTGTGTATTGTTCATATAATTCTGTTGCAGACATTTAACAAGTGCTAGTTAGTAGTTGTAATGTTCAGAGTCCATCGAAGATGAAAAGAAAGTCCAAAATGGTACAAATAACAAAAAGGTGTTTATTTTAACAAAACAAACACAGGTAATCTACAGATGAGTGAGCAACATAACATTGTGTAGACACAACAGTACCCAACAATGAACTGAAACACAAGAGGGACTTAAATACACAGTAATAACAAACTAAATGACAAACAGGTTTGATGATTGAATGAAGTGTCACAGCAACTAAAGACTGGAGAAATGGAACAAAGGAAACAGGAAAAAGTCCATGAAAATGAACTGTAACTGAATGAAATGAAACTGAACGTGATTGTTTCACATACTATTTAGGATGGATAGTATGCACATTGTGATGCAGGGCTTGTCATTCTCACAAGGCTTTACACATTTACACATTTGCTTACACAATCATTTAGGATCAGTCTAGATTGAATTGGCATTTGGTCTGATTTCAGACTAGAGGTTTCCTATTGAGTAACCCTAGTCTATGTGGACAGGTGCATATCTCGAAAATTATGGCCACCATTGGCCATTATCTTTCAGCAGCTATTATACATGGTTAACAAAGAATGACTGGAATAAAACTTTGTGGGCTTTGTGGGCGCCAGAGGTCTGTAAGAAATGTAAAACTAACTGTTATATAAATGTTATATATATACAGTATATATATAGGACCTAGTACTCTGTAGGTCGATGATCATCAAGAAATGTTACATTTTGTATTTAGATGGCTATAGGAGGGTCATTTAAAATATAGGAGTGACCCAGTGCACTTTAAAATCCTGTAATTCCTTAACAGAACTTCAGAACCTTACAAAATTAAGCACATATGACATATGATTACATAATAAAAGCAAGCAAATCAGGCAATTTACAAGTGCATTACTACAGTAATATTTAACATGTCTGGCTGACCAGAAGGTGCACAAGACTTTTCTAAACCCGTGATGCAAAATCTTTGCAGTAAATCTACTTCACCTGTCTCTAGTAACCTAGAGGCACAGATGAATTTCATTGGTAGACACCAGATAGGTTCAGAATAACACCTTGTTTTACACTAGATTGATCTTAAGAAAAAAGTGGATACTGTGTAGAGAATTAAAGCTGCAACAACTAATTGATAAAATGCGATGCAACAGCAAAATCCATCCATCCATCATGTACACCTGTACCAATAATTAAAAAGCTCAGGTGCAAAATATACATGCCTATATTGAATGAGTAAAATTAAATGGACATTTATCTCTCATATGATCTATTGATCAACAAAGAATGGTTTGGTTTTAATTGTGTTTGTGAATTTCATTTTAATTGAATGTATTTGTTTCTCTCTGCAGGAGAAGAAATGAGAAGAAACGGGTGAGCATATGATTTCAACAAGCAGTCACAGCAATAGGCAGTTTCACTATAGGGCAGACTGCCACTATGGTGCCTCTACTCCAACTCTTTCTTTTAATGCCTTTAATTAAGCCAATCACAAATCATGTCCATGGAAACTCTCTTTCACCTCTGACCACTCATTCAAATCACAGCCTGTTTTCTCAGACTGACGTGCTTGTCAGAAAAACCGATCATAGATTGAAAGCCAATGCTGCGTTAGAAACTGTAAAACCATTTCTTCATGGCTTCTATCAGAAAAGTGTCATTAAATCAAGTGGAGATTCAAATGAATGGACTGAAAGCAGAAACACTGAGGACACATTGTCAGAAAAAACATCACGTACTGACATAACTGGGTCAAGAAGTACATTTTTATTATCACCCAAAAACAGAGTCAAAAGAGGTTCTACCCAAAATGTCATACCACAAAATGCCGCTGGAAAAGAAAAGGAGACTGCTGATAATACAGAATTCAAAGAGAAAGACTTGTCAACAGTTGGGCCAGGTGATATGTTAATACCCAGAGAAACTGGCTTTGTTCGGTCATCAACAGAGGCTTTAAAATCTCTTGATAAACAGCATACCCAGTACAGAATGCAAGTTCAGACTGCTCATAGTGTGCTGGCTAGTTTGGCCACAGTACAAATAAATCCAACAATCAACTCTTCATTCAAGACCAGCCCTTCTACAACTTCACCACCTAATGAAAACGCTGTAGACACTACAAGTAGGATGATCCAATTGGATGCCAACAGGACTCGACTGGAAATAGGTAAAGTACAGATGCAGTAATGCTGCATTCACCTAAATAACTGAAATAAAAAATGGCATCTCTGAGATTATACTCTTTTACTCAATCACTTGTATCTATAGCAAAAATCAGCAAAATCAGCGAAAGTGTTCACTATATTATTTTACTATGGTTTTTACTATGATAAACTTTGATTTTGATGTTACTGTACCATTCCTCAAATTTTCCTTTGTTTATCAGGTAGGTTGGGGACAACCACTACAGCTAAAATTCAGCCAAAAAGACAGTTTACCACTTTACAATCACATATTGAAACCACCTCTTTTAGCACAAGTACAACCAATCTACAACTAGAGGCACCATCACCAGGAGTGGACATCATCACTTCCAACAATTCACAACCAGAAAGCACTTCACAGTCAACAAAATCAGCAAAAATACCCAATGACCATTCAAAGGAGCCAGGAACTAAAGGAACAGTGACCGATATAAAGAACACTAAAGGTATGATTTTTCTGAAAAAAAAAAAAAAAGGTCACACTTTAGTTTGGGGACCAATTCTCACTATTATCTAACAATTAACTACAACCTTTGCCTCAGTAAACTCCTAATTAGCTGCTTATTAATAGTTAGTTGTCACGTGCTTTTGGTTTATGGTCATGTTTTCATGTCTTGTGCTACCCTGTTTTGTGTCAAGGACTTTTATGTTGAAGTGTATTTTCTGTTCCTTTTGTTTCTATGTTCACTTCTTGTGTTTAGTTCTTGTTACTTTGCCTGGCTTGTTATGGTGCTTTTCCACTGCATGGTACGGCACGGCTCGCTTTTGGGGAGTTTTCCACTGTGTACAGTACCTGGTACCTGGTACTTTTTTCAGTACCACCTCGGCAGAGGTTCCAAGCGAGCCGTACCGTTACCAGAATGTGACGTGTAAACCCTGCTGATCACTGATTGGCCGGAGAGAATCGTCACTACCTGTGTCATTGAACATGCGACACGAGACACTATACCAGCTAGATTAAATCAGTACAGCCAGCAAGGATCGAATGCATTTATGATCATTTTACAGCAGTAGAGGTGGTGCAACTATAACGACATGTCTATAATCCTGCCCACTCTAAAGTGGTACTAAACTGCAGTGGAAATGCAAACCGAACCGAGCCGTACCGTGCCGAGCCGAGCCATACCATGCAGTGGAAACGCACCATTCATTACCCTTGTTAGTTGTCATAGTGATTCATTAACTCCTCCCCCCTTGTTAGTTTTGTTAACCTTTGTATAAATAGCCCTCATGTTTCCTTTGTCTAACTTTGTTTGTGTAGTCCACTGTTTGGTGAGTTTGTTCATGTTTTTGCCTAGCCAAGTCTTGTTCATTGTTTCTGCTCACGTTTGGATTTTATTACAGTAAACTGCACATGGGTTCTCATTCAACTTTCCTTCAGTGGACGTTCATTACAGAAAATACACTTCAACATAAAAGTCTTTGACACAAAACAGGGTTGCACAAGACATGAAATATAATCCATAAACCAAAACCACGTAACATTAATATGGTAGTTGTTAAGTTTAAGTATGGGGTAGGATTTAGGGATCTAAAATATGGTCATGTAGAATAAGGCATTAATATGTGCTTTATAAGTACTAATAAACAGCCAAATATGCTAGTAATATGCATGCTAATAAGTAGGGGTGTAACGGTTCAGATTGCTCACGGTTCATTTCGGTTCACAGTTTTAGGGTCACGGTTCGGTTTGGTACAGTTCGCTATGTGCTATGTTCAAGGAAAAAAGTACTATGGTCAAATAAAAATAAAGAAAATAACAAATAATCAAATTAAATGCAAAAATAAATACAATAGAGCAAAGATACAAATAGAATAAAGTGTGTTTCAGGTGTTTTAACAGTAATTTTCAGGCACAGAAATCTAAAAGTAAATAAATATAAAATAACAGTGCATAGTTTACTGTAAAATTAAAGACCAATCCTTGTTGAAGTCACAAAGCCTATTCAGTCAAGAGAAGTGAGTGATTTCTTTGTCTTTTGTTGTTTAACATTAAAAACACAGACAACAGGAATAGACTGCTGTTCCTTTAAGACATAATTCACAGATCCAGTGCACTGATACTGGTACACATGCGTTGTCTTTCTCCACTGTTTACATTCACTTAAGACATGACCTCAAGCGCGGGGCCTGGTGCGGCCGCACCAGTTGCACCCCCCTAAGGACGGCCCTGTACTAGAGTGCATACGGCATTCGGTGTTGTTTGTCCACGTTTTTTGATCATTGCTGTTGAAATGTGGGAAGCCAACAGGTCTGTTTTACGCGTTATTTTCAACAAACCATATTCTACATGTGCATCAACAGATTTGAGATGAGCTGTGGTGCAAGTGGGGTCAACCTCAAGTGGGCTGGGGGTGGAGCGCGGTATATATCGAGAGTACCGCAATACATATCGTGGGTGGTGTATCGCGGTTTTTCTGTTCGGTTTGAATATCATTACACCCCAAATGTTCTATATTGTTTTATTAAAAATGGTCTGAAAATTATTGTATATTTTTGTATGTACTTATGTTTATATTTATTCATTTGGCAGACAGGTATGCATTTTTAGCAGTTCTTGCTTTTCCTGCTAGCACATTGCACTATTGTTTGAGCTAACGAAAGCCTATGTGCTTGGTTTATGGTATGCATTTTACACAATTACCTCAAGAATATTTCCTCTCCCTCTTTTGCCTTTCACAGGTATACCAACTTTTCTAAGGACTGCCTCCCCTCTCCCGACTAGACATGGCCATTTTGTATTCTCAGAAAATGATGGAAGATTTACAGAGAAAGACCAGTCAGTCTCACAAGGAATAGCCCCATCTCTGAAGTCAAACCCTGCCTCTCCAACCTATGCCCTACCCAAGGACCTCTGTGCTACTGGTGTGGGTCCCTGTGTTTTTTCCAAAGATCAAAACGATGAAAAATATGGCGCAACAAATGGGAGCTTTTTAGTGTGGGCGGACTTAAAACGCACACTTTCATTTGCATGGGAGCTGCATGTATTTGGTTCTGCTGCCCTTTTCCTTCTACTGACTGCTGGCTCAGCCCTTGGTTTAGCATTATCTCCCAGCTTGTACTGCCCTCACCGTGGTGAATTGGTACTCACCAATAGCCTCTTGCTAGTAGTAGGTGCAGTTAGAGCAGGCCACTTCTTGCTCGACCCATATGGGACTCGGCTCCTCCTGCCACTTCCTATCGTAATAGGTTTATACACGCTGCCGTTACCACTATTAATCCTGGCACAGGCTGCATTAGTGATACTGGTACTAAAAGAGACAGGGGTAACCTGGATTCCACCAACACTTCAGCGCCCCCCTCTGTTAGGAGTGTTAGCTGTTTTCCAATGCACTCTCCTTCTTGCTGCAGACTTACTTTCCCCTGCACTTTCTCCTGCTGTTCCCATTGTACTACAGAGCCTCACGCTGACTGCAGGCCTCGTACTGTGTTTAGGCTACCTTTTCTTGGCACTGCCGTGCTTCTCTCACACACATGCAGCTCGGAGAGGAAATAAGGGAAAGGGCGAAGGAAAGGTGCGGGTTTTAGCACGAGTACTGGCAGTGTGTGCTTTTCTTGGGGCGCTGTGCTGTCTGTTGCACATTTATGCCTGCTTGTGGCTGTATGGACTACTAGGAGACTGGAGGCGCTTCCGTTGGGCATGGTGGCTCTGTCAGTTCTGGGTACGACTGTTGGAGCTTGCCTGGGCTTTCTGCCTGCTTCTGATGTCTTCCTGGGTCTTTTGGAGACCCAACCAAGGCCACATATGTGGAGCACCAAGACAGGAAGGAGCTGCCACAGAAAGCTTGCCCTCACCCTCTCAGTCATCAAACTCTACCAGCAGACATACATGCTGGGCGAAGATTGTGCAGAGCCTCAAGGTAAGGCAACAAAGGAAATCTGAAAGCAATGGGATTGCAGGGTCAAATAGTGGTGCAGTGGCCGGAAAGTTGCCTAATAACTGGGCAGGACAGGAGCTATCAGGGGCAGACATTAGCAAGAGCCTCATACGAAATCGTGATCCACTCAAAGACAGCAATAATTTACGCAATCTGAAAAGATTTGCAGGGGGCTCTGCAGGTTCACTGCTAAGACTGCAGGCACTTGCTCAGCCATCTCAGCACCTCAGTAGCAGTTTGGACAGGGACAAGGAGTCAGCCATCTCACTCTGCGATTTTGACCTGCGCCCTCCAACCCCAATTGACCTCAGCCGCAGTATTGATGAGGCACTTCATCGTGAGCATCTATTAAGGGGTGAAAGTTTGTTCCAGCCACTGCGACCACCATCACTTCCTCCATCTCCACACCTGTGGATGCGACAGAATAGTGAGCCCCAAATCACACTGTCATTGAGCAGTGATGAACACACATTGTTCTCAGAGTCCTCCGCAGGTCTGGATCGCTCCATTCCTAGTGCTGTGCCCAGCCGACAAGTCACAGCCCCCCCTACACCCACTCATCAGGGCTTCCGTTGGGTCTCTGAGGCACAAGTGCCTTCCTCTTTGTCCTGCCCGGTCTCACTGCACCCTTCCCCAAGCACAAGTCATGCCCTTGTGCCCAGCGCAGAAAACACAAGGCCGTTTCTAACCCCTGACCTTGAAAGTTTGTAATCAAATACCAGAGGGGGGCAAAGTTACCTGAAAGTCACTCGAAATGATGACTCAGCCAGTGTCAGCAGTGACATTATTGACCTTTGAACATGTTATGACTCACAGCAACTCCAGATTATAACACATTCACATTCTCCAAAAAGTAGAGATTATACATTTAATAATGACTTGCAGTCTAATTGTTGTATAATGGCACTTAAAGGGAAGAGGAACACATTGTTGCAAGTGGCTCATTCTAATTTTTTCTTTCAAAAGTCTTGTTTACAGTAATACATATACTATAGATGTCTATGGGTCTTCCTTATCTGACACACTCAGTTCAGTTCATGGAGCTCTCACCTAACGAGCTGATGATCTGAATCAGGTGTGTTAAATAAGGGAGACATGCAAAATGTGCAGAGCAGGGGGTCCCCAGGACCAGGATTAAGAACCACTGCTATGGGGCAAGGCATACCAGAGACAGAAATCTGAAGCTTGTATTTGCTATTATTAATGTTTTCGTACAAAATGTGTGTTATTTGATCTGTATACCTGTCTTTTTAGTGGTGGGACCGCTGTTTTAGGCAAATTAACCTCTAGCTGTGAACTAATGTAATTTCTGTTGGTGTAGTTGCTCCATGTAAAATACTTTGGCAAATAGTTAGTAGTCTCTTGTTGTTACATGTAATATTTATGTTTTGTGGCTGTACTTTGCAGTAGTGTGTGTATTTTAATGTTTATTCTGGTGCAGTGCCTTGTCCCATAGAGCAGCCTAGGTGCTACCTTTGCATGCATTGTGAAGAGCTGTGTCTAGATAATGCCAGAACAGAAATTATACTGGATGTGCCAGAACTGGACTTTCTGGCACATGCTTTGTACTTCCAGTTTATTCCTGCAATGCAGCATACCTAAAACATACTAAACTATTCTCACAACTGGATTTTTGTTTAGTAAAATAATTTTTATAACATTACTTTCCAGCATAGCAGACCAGAACGTTGTTTGTTGGTATATTCAGCAGTTTAGTCAAAATTTCAACACAGCTGAATGCTGAACTCATCACTACTTTATTCGATACAGAATAACTCTTATGTGAGCAATAAATTATAAAAAGCTGTGAGTATAACTTAAACAGATTATGTATATACTATATTTTTGTTTGTAAATTATGATATATTCTGATTACATTTAATGCATTTACTGTGAATGACAATCTTTCCTACTGTAAAAATATACTGATCCTGGCAGAAAAAGGACTACAAATACACTGGAGTTCTCCAGGCATATCAACAGGTACACATCCTGAGAAATGTTAATGTGCACCATTAGAGTGTGACATGAAAGGAAAGTGCTTTGTACATTTTCTTGTTCTTTAGTTGAAAAGTTTTGTTCCTCTCGCTTTCATTTTTAAAATGGCAAGGAATGGTTTTAATATCACTTTCAAATTTGCAAATAAACAGGATGCTGTATACTGTAGATATTCCAGTCAGAGTTTTTGTTTAGTGGTTTGAGTTGCCTATTCATTGTCAGTCACTAACAGTTATATCGATATATGATAATATCGTCATATTGCCCAGCCCTATAGTATTAAAAAAACAGTAATACTAGCAACAACATCATTGTCTCTTTGACCCACCTACTCACATTAGTGAATATGGGCACACAGGCAGGAAAAATACTAGTGGATTAGAAGGATCTTAATGTTAGGAAAGTGGCTGTTTATTTTTCAACTATGTAAATGGCTCAGACTAGAGATTTTATTATTATACTAGGAGATATCATCCTCTGCAGCTCTACCATTGAATGAAGCAGACCAGTGAACTTGGATCACATGTGCCTTAAGAATCAATCACATTATACCCATGACGTTATTTAATTGCTGCCAGAGTTATATGATGATGTACGAATACTGACGCAGAGAGAATACCACAACCTTCAGTTTATATAAGAGCAGTGTATACTTAGCCAAGTGAAGAAATTGGCTATGGGCCCCTTGAATCATCACAACCTTTCACCCCATAGCGATAGGCATGCCTGTATCAGTGTGAATCGTATAGTAGTTCAACTTAATTGCAGTTTTTTAAGCTTAAATGCTTTTGCTGTATGTTGTGATGTGTGTAATTTTTCTACTGGTAATAGCTAGGGCTATGTAGCAACATGGAATCTACAGCAAATTTTTACCTGGGGACTAAAAAGTATTATTTGATTCTTAATCAGTTTAATGGACCTCTGACTGAATAGAGTGAGACTGCAGAAAAACAGTCTACATGGCTATATCATGGCTCTGTGGTAACAACAGACCTTAATCAGGTTAAAGGCTGTAATAGGCTTAACAGTCTTTACAATGGCACTCACTGTATAAAGGTCCTAGATTGTGTAATTTTGGCAACTCACAACTTTCAAAACTGTTTAATGGAGTTTCTGTCTACTGAAAGTTTAGTAACACTTTATTTTAAGGATCAGAAATTAGACAGTAATTAATGACTAATAACTGCATTTGTAAGTGACTAGTTATGGATTTGTATGCCACTACAAGCTATTTATAAGGCATTTTTTTGGTTGTTGTCTTATTTTTGTCTTATAGCCCCTTTATACTTGTTTCTGTCCTAACAATGTACCAATTAGCTAAAATAAAACAAACTAATAGCTTGTATTGTGCAAATTACACACCTTATAAGTTCTCAGTACACTGTATGAATGTGTAGCTCATAAGTATGAAATATCATATAGAATGGGCATTTCAACACAGACATTTAATTTAGCTGAAAAACATTGTGATGTTACATAAAAGCACAGTCTTTCTAGCAGTTGTTCTATACTAACAAATGATTTTGAGAGATGAGAGCAGCTAGAGTTCTTACTAGAACCAGGAAGTATGACCATATTAGCCCGTTTCTGTCAACACTGCACTGGCTCCCTATTAAACATCGTATAGATTTTAAAATCTTGCTTATTACTTATAAAGCCCTGAATGGTATAGCACCTCAGTATTTGAACGAGCTCTTATTGCATTATAGTCCTCCACGTCCACTGCGTTCTCAAAACTCTAGCAATTTGATAATACCTAGAATATCAAAATCAACGGTTACATCCATAAGCTTTTTGTGAGATTTGGATTAACTCATTAATCTGTTGTTTGATCACTTCATATTTAAGGAGAGAAAAGGTAAATCAATACATTGTTTTCTGTGAATGAGTGAACAGGGTGATTTTCACATCATTTTGTAGCAAAAGCTCTAGTCAGATTGCTGGTAATCAAACAGTTGGTGGTTCCCATTGACTTCCATAGTAAGAAAAAAAAAATACTATGGATGTCAACGGGAACCACCAACTGTTTGATTACCAGCAATCTTCAAAATATCTTCTTTTATGTTCAACACAAGAAAGCAACTCATAGAGGTTTGGAACGACATGAGGGTGCGTAAATTATGAATTTTCATTTTTGGGTGAACTATCCGTTTAATTTCTGTCAGTGGGGGGTGCATGAGAGCGCATTTGAAAGAGTTTTTCCTGTAATGTCGGCAACATCGTGTCTTCTCTGCGACCTGGAAACGTGCTTCATGAGATGGCAAGAAAATTCAATGTCCTTTTGAAAATTGCAAAAAGAATGAATACATTTGAATTGAGCAGTTTAAACAAAGTCTCCTGAAAAGATACAATCACTTTATATGATGAACAGATTTAAGTTTGGCTTTTATTGACAAAAAAATTGCTTTTTTAAACTTTGATCAGCAAGGATAAACAAACCAAACCTAACCAAGCTTAACCAACCCTTCTTGTACCCAAACCTCATTGGTTCTTGCGGAAGTGCAAACATGCTTGCATGACATGCAAGAACAAACCTCATGCTTAAGATTTCGTTACCAAATTTGAATGCTGTAAACATTGTAATAATACATTTTTGTTTACTCTTGATGACAAATATGCATACAGTTTATTTATATTTGCTTTACCTTTTTCTGAAATATCATTACTTAGTGAACAATTAAGTGTGATACATCAATATGTTTTTCAGGAGATTCCATTCTGTTTCCCAAAAAGTGGATGCTGGCCTTGGAGGGGAAGGTCGTCACAGAGTCCAGTCCCCTCCAGCAGGACTTTACCTCCGCCCTGGCTGCCCTCTTTGGGTCATTTTATGTTTTCAATGTGGAATACCAGGAGGACGCAGCCTCAACCCTGGAGTTCATCCAGAGGTAAATACTCTTCACTAATTCTATGTACACTACTACTGGTCAAAAGTTTTTGAACGGTAAGATTTTTAAATGTTTTTAAAAGAAGTTTCTTCTGCTTACCAATGCTTCATTTATTTGATCCAAAATACAGCAAAAACAGTAATATTGTGAAATATTTTTACAATTGAAAATAACTGTGTTATCAAAGCTGAATTTTCAGCATCATTACTCTAGTCTTCAGCGTTACATGATTTTCAGAAATCATTGTAATATGATAATTTGCTGCTCAAGAAACATTTATTATTATTATCAATAGGCCTGTCGCAATAATCAATATATATATCGACTTATCGCGCAATATATGTACATGACCGCAATAATTTTTGGTGACGCAATATATCGCCCATTTATTTACTTAAAAATTAATGTCACCATGTTTTGTACATTCCACTTGCACCTGTGTCTTCTGCAGCGTCTCGTGCATAACGTGGTGTAGTCATGAGGTGCTA